TCGAGTTATTATGTCTGTGAATTGTGTTCCATAAACATATATCTCTCAGATGAATCATTCATGAGATTGAGTTTATAAAACTCCCTCGCATGAGAGATTCTCGAGGTTGAGCTTATATAACTCCGTTGGATGCTAAATTCCCGATGTTGGGTTGATATTTCGTAATTATATTATTTAATACGGATCTACATGTTAAACACACACATAATAGACATTTGTCTATATATTTATATTTCGAACTGAGAAATTAATTTGTGTACATCTTTCTCGAATAGTTTATTTCCGAGGTTAAGCTAAGCTTATACATATCTTCCTCGAAAATTATATTCTCAACGTCGATCAAATGAAATATTCCTGAAATAGAGTTTGAATATCTCTCCTGAATTATATATATTCCCGAGGTCGAGTTTAAACATCTTCCCGGACGATAGATTGGTCAAATTAGAAATGATATATTATAGAATTTATTGGGTGTGATATGGCACAAAAGCACGAGCTAACGCAATATTACATCTCGTAGAGATTATGGCACCACGAACTCAACCATTGAGTGTGATATGGCACAAAGCACGAGTCATGTCACTATGCCATGTAAACTGGTTAATGATGAAAATTCAGGTTATGACACGATTGTCTAGGTAACTCATAATCGAGTATGATTTGTAGGATCACTAAATATATTCAAAGGCGTCTGCTGAGGATATCTAATATAAAAAAAAAGTTTATGTGAGTCGTAAAGGCTCAAGATAAAAGCTTCAGAGTGGACCATATAAAATTTTAACAATTTGGGTTGACACATTTTGTATATGATTTCACTTGTGCTTATATCTCGTGCAATATGAGTTTGCTCGTTTTCCAGCACAAATTACTATACCTCGATCATATAATATTGATTATTCATATGAGAATGGAGATTTGTGCATTACTTGGAATAATATCAGTATCATTAGCACACGCTCAAACTCATAATGAATTCATTGAATTCACCGAATAAACGGGTCATAGTGAATGCTACATATATATGCAAAGCCTAATGCTAAGGAAAAGGTAATTATAAATTTCGGGATCATTATTATAGTGAACCACATTGCATAATGGAACAAGGTCTTTTTAACTTAAATATGAGAAAACTATTAAATCCAAATTGTGTTTCTAGAAAAATGAAATAAATACGGACTAATTGTACAAACTTCGAACAATATCTCCAGGATATTAAGAGGTATTTGTTCATTAGAAGAATGAGAGAACAATAATAATATTTTATGATATAGATTATAATATCTTTCTTGTAAATCAAGGATTCTTCTAAGGATATGGGATTGATTTTTTTTTTTTTTTAGCGAAATGGATCATTCATTAATTAGGCAAAATTAGCCAACATTGAAGGAAGGAAAATACCTTCGCTACAGGAAAACACAATTTGAGAAGCTAGTTTATGGGCAAGCAAATTACCCTAGCGTCTGACAAAATTAAAAGTGCAAGACGAAAAAGAACTAATAATTGAAAGACCTTTAATAAAAGCTCCATGCTACGAAATGTAATGAGATGAAAATATGTGTGTATTCTTCTCAATAGAGGTATGGGTGTATATACACAAAATAATAAGTTAACAATGGAAAATACAATCAAATCAAATCACTAAATTACATAGTAATCAAATTCCATAATAATGGATATAATATATTAACATTTCTAATCAAATGCCATAATAATGGATATAATATATTAACATATCTAATCAAATTCCATAATAATGGATATATATTATATTAACATCCCCTCAAACTCAAGTTGGATCAACATAAACCAAATTGAGTTTGGAAACTAGAGCGTTGAATCGACTCGGTGAATGCACTTTGGTGAAAAAATCAGCAGTTTGAGCAGCCGAGGTAATGTACTGAAGACAAAGAGTGTTATGTATCAGATGATGGCGAACAAAGTGACAATCATTCTCAATATGTTTTGTTCGCTCATGGAAAACATCGTTGTGAACAATTTGGATTAGAACTTTGATTGTCACAAATGAATAATTGTTGCACTTTGATGTGATACACCAATGTCAATAAGTAACCACCGAAACCATAATAACTCTGAAGTAGTGTTTGTTAATGCTCGATACTCAGATTTAGTACTCGAACGGAAGACAATAGGTTGTTTCTTGCTACGCCAAGAGATCAAAGAATCTCCAAGAAAAAAACAGTAACCAGTGACAGATCGTCGATCAGTAGAATCACCAGCCCAATCAACATCATAATAAGCATACATCGTTAGCGATGACTGAGCTGAGAAATGAAGACCATGAAACAAAGTACATTTTATGTAACAAAGTATATGAAGAACAACGGAGAAATGAGTAGATCGTGGAGCTGCCATAAACTCACTAATATGATGATCATCGTAAGCAATATAAGGACGAGTAACAGTAAGATAAATGAGACTTCCAACCAACTGTCGGTAGAGCGTAGCATCAGTAAGTAGAGTTCCATCCGTAGGAGTAAGTCGAGTATTCATCTCTAGAGGAGTGGAAGAAATTTTGGTATCGATTATATTTGAGTGGGAGAGAAGATCAGCAGCATACTTAGCTTGAGAAATATAGCAACCATCAGAAGCAGTGTGATTTCAAGCCCCATAAAATAACCGAGGGTGCCAAGATCTTTCATTTCAAAATGATGATGAAGAGACTGTTTGAGAGACTTAATGCCTGTAAGATCATCACCTGTAATGATCATATCATCATCGTAAAGCAGCAGAAAAATAACCCATATATCACCTTTACGAATGAAAAGAGCAGAGTCATAAGAGCTACTAGTGAGGTCAAGATGGGCGATCGTGCTACTAAATTTCTCAAACCAAGCACGGGGCGCTTGTTTGAGACCATATAATGCCCTTCGAAGGCGACACACCTGTCCAGAAGTATGAGGATATCCAGGAGGAGTTTTCATATGCACCTCTTCGTGCATATCACCGTGAAGGAAAGCATTTTTGACATCCATCTAAAATAAAGACCATTTCCGAATAGCAGATATGGCAATGCGACTGCAAAGAGTGGGTAATCGAGCAACATGAGCAAATATTTCTTCATAACCAACACTATATTCTTGGTTGAAATCTTTAGCAATCAAGCGAGCTTTATAAAGTTCAATAGTCCCATCAAAATGAGTTTTAACTTTAAAATACAATTGCAACCAATGGGAGTCTTACCCTTCGACAAATAAACTAAATCTCAAGTTTGAGTCTTATGCTACGCGTCAAGTTCATCAGGTATTCTTGTTGCCAATGAGGGTCAGTTTGTGCCTCTCGATATGACTGAGGTTTGTGAAGAGAAAGAATAGCATAAAAATAATAAAAATCACGTAAATGAGAAAGTATATGTCTTATCCAAGTTGAAAGACGAACAGATTCCTCAAAAAGACTAGGATCAGTTTCGTTGGCAGGATCCTCAGTTGGGGCAGAAGCAAATGCAATAGGCACATCCGCAACGGTCGAAGTACTTGGTGTGGCAATGGGTTCTGTTTCAGATGGAAAAAGATCACATGAAGGATTTGTAAAAAGAGAAGGAGTAGAATGTGACATTCTAAACTGAGACATAGAGGCAAACATCGTGTCTTCCTAAAAGACAACATGACAAGAAATACGAAGACGATTGGAAACTGGATCCCAACAAAGATAACCCTTATGTTCAATCAAGTTTGGCATACTCATAGGGTTGAAGAAGAACGAAGCAAGCACACAAAAAGACTTTTAGAGTTGAATAATCATGAGATTTCCCATGAAGACGAGAATAAGAAGTCTCATTTTCAATTACAAGTAAAGAGATATGATTGATGGTGTACACGGCCTGTAAGAGAAACTTCACAAAGAGTGATTGATGACAAGAGGCTGAAAGATTTAAAGAGCGATTATAATTTAGAATATGACGGTCTTTTCGTTTGGCTCTTCCATTATGTTGATGAGTGCCCGGGCAAGATCTTTGAACATGGGTCCCATTTTAATAAAAAATATCATAAAGGTGTGAATCACGATATTTCATGTCATTATCCGTTTGAAAGACCTTTATTACTTTTTTGAATTGTGTTCGAACCATTTTGACAAAAGTCTTACAGATAGATGTGAGCTAACAAAATACTCAGAATTTTGATAATAATACTCCAAAACATTGTCAGCTTCATTGGCATATTGCCCATTCAATTTTCAAAAAATGGGACACGATGTTTGAAAACGAGTAATTTGGTTACACATGACTCGTTGGTTCGATAGTTATGTTGGTCGCGGGGCAGTTGTGACAAGCCTACCATCTAAACAGCATGAAAGCACGTGACGAAGCGAACAAGCGTCGAGATAAGTTGAAGGAAGATTGTTAGAAGGAGTGCTTCCGAAAGCAGGAAGAATTGATAAACCAATTGCGGAGTAATTTGATGGAATTTGAGAAACTCAATCAAGCCCTACAACAAGGAAACGGAATTCTGCATTCTCGTTTGAAGAATATATAGTTGTTTGATTTCAACCTAACATAGACATTGTTATTAATTGGTTTGAAATTTTGTTGATAATATATATATACCATTAGTAATATTAGTTCGAAATATTGTAGATAATATTGTTGGTTCCAAATTTAATAATAAACTTTAACTTCCACCACAATACATATTTTCTTGATTGTAATAAAAAATCTGCACCATGTAAAGATTTCTTAAATACATATTTCTTAAACATTCAGGTCCACCAATTTCAATTTGATCTTAATCGATTGGACTGCACGACGGATATAAACAGTCTAGAAAAGTAAAAAAAAACCTTTGGAAACATTGTTCACAATTGACGGTTTAAAACCGTCAAGAAAAAAGACGTTAAGAAAAAAGACATCGTATATACTTTTATATATGAAAAAACCGCGGGACATTTTAAAAACTATCACGAATACTTGTATTTTTTTTTATTTTTTTTTTGGCTTTTGGCTCCGGAAACCTATTCATTACCCAAGCTGCCAAAACCGAAAGATGATTCTTCAAAACATATATTTGATTTTAACCTTCACAAATTACCAAATTACATTCACAAAATCTATCTGAAAAATAACATCCACATACATTTCAAGTTGCAATGTCGTTGCAAAAAAAAAATACAAGGAACACTTGAAACAATCTTCCTTTTCTAACGAAAATTTTCGATACCTTTTCCTATTTTTCTTAAAGAAAAGAAAGAGAAGTGTTCAATTAGCAGTACTGCACCAGCAACAAGAAGAGCATCTGATGCGGGGTCGAAAAATCCTGCACGAGAAGTAAATTATTTTAGAAAACAAAAAACAAATTTGGAGCATTAGTTTATTCAGGTTATAGGCAACAAAAGCGTACAAGTCGCAAGATCATACACTACATAAAGCGCAGCTGCTCGGAACAAATAATAGAGCATTATTGAAGTTAACAGATAAATAAAAACGGAACTAAGAACAAAAAGATCATATTTAACTCATACTTTATAGCATTTAATCGAGAGCAATCGGAAAATAAATAACATACTTGAGCCACGTATCGTTTGATAATACGACGGGAAAAAGGTCCCTTTAGAGGTTGGATAGTTCAATACCTTCTCTTCGAGAGTTTGAAATTGTTTTATCATATAATTGCAGTAGATGTCACTTTTGCAAACCGTAGACACTTTTGTAAAGCTACACCATATATAATAATCCAGCTTTTGAAACCCGATTCGCCTCTGAATCTCTCTTCCCTCCGTATAAACAAGGCAAACCTGTGGAACAATTTGAAGATGAAAAAAATACATTTTAATATTTCTAATGTCAGCACTGGTGTATCAAAAAAAAAAAAAAGACGTAAGAATGTTATACAATTCATACCATTATTTATATCCAGTAACCACCAATGCGCAATTCACATAGTTTTTTTTTAAGTCTTTTGAAATCAAATCGATCAGCGGCTGCAAGCATCTTTCCCAGAAATTATTCAGGCACGAACTAGCCAAGATCATTGATAGCTTCTTCTGGAAGATTTCCCGTATATAGAAACCAAAGCATTGCCTATCAAATGGGGTAGAGACAAAGATACTTAAAAACACTTACTGCGTAACGGAACCTCAAAGGCACAATAAAAAAAAAAAAAAAAAAAACGGAGTACAACACGTTTTCAGAGACTCGAAAGTTATTATCAAAGCTTGATATTGATAAATCAATAACTCAATCAAAATAAAACAGACAATGGGAATAACGGTTAGGTGATTTTCTAGCCAAGAGAATTTACGGGATTAAAAAAACCGAACATGCAATTAAAAAAAAATCATTATTTAAAAAAAAAAGAACTTTCCAGAATAAAATTTGTAGTTACTAATTTTCAAAAACTTCAATCAATATAATACAAATTAATTTTTTTTCCCACAGAAGTGAAGAATGGAAGAAACGAAAAGATATGAAAAAATCAATATGATATTTGCCATACTTGTTGATTCTTAACTCACTTCATAAGAACAGCTCTCTGCATCTTCAGTTTTTCCCTTTCGAGTTTACAGTGAAGCAAAAGTGAGTACAAATGCGAACTACCAATAATCCCTACAAGAACAAGAACCATCTTTAAAAGTATGAAATCTGTTTCGATCACGCACAACTATTTCTCGATCCACAATCTCCGATATCAACTTGAAAGAAGCATGACAATCTTCACACACACGAAGATTCTTGAAAATTCGAATCGTTTGTCCAGGCGGCGAGCTAATAAGCCCAAAAACCAACGCTAGTTTCTCACTGTGCCGAAACAAAACCTTCTCTTTTTCCTCCTCCTCCACATCGAGTAGCACAACCGAGGTATTCGGTACATAGCCTTTCGATCTCATATGCACTAATAACTCGTTCCACATGCTATATATCTTCTCGGATTGATGATGTGTCTCGTCCCCAGCCACAAACTCATGGACCGCACCTTTTACGGTTACCGAACTCCATGCAATTGTCTTCTTCAAACCTTTCTTTCTCATCAACTTTCTCACTCTAGCAGCATCCTCCCATTTCTTTGCTTCAGAGTATATATTTGCTAGAACTACATAATAGCCATCGTTTAACGGATCCAATTCACGCAAGTGTCTCATTGCTAGTTCAGCCATTTCGATGTTCTTGTGGACTTTGCACCCGCCGAGAAGAGCACCCCATACAGCGGCATTGGGCTTTATAGGCATCTCTTCGATGAAATCACGGGCCTCTTCTAGAAGCCCGGCCCGGCTTAATAGGTCAACCATGCAACCGTAGTGTTCAATGCTTGGAACAATTCTGTAATCTCTAGTTATGCTATAGAAAAATTCACGACCCTCGTTTATCAATCCCATGTGACTACAAGCGTTCAATAGTCCGATGAAGGTGACTCCATTAGGCTTCATTCCTGTCTGAATCATTTCGAAGAAGAGCTCCAATGCTTCGTTTGCTTTTCCGTGAATTGCTAGCCCTTGGATCATGGCTGACCATGAGAAAATTGTTCGTTCTTTCATACCCTCGAATACGCGATGTGCTGCGTCTAGACATCCGCATTTGATGTACATATCAATCAGGGTGTTAGAAATGTGGATGTTTTTCTTGAAGCCACTCTTGTCTGAATATTCATGAATTCTAGTCCCAAGATCGAGTGCTCCGATATCAGCACAGGCTGCTAAAACAGCCACCACAGTCACCTCATTGGGTCTCAATCCAACTTCTTCCATTTTCGAGAAAAGTTCGATTGCCTCCTTGGGCTTCCCACACTGAACGAAACCCGAAATTATAGCAGTCCACGACCTCACATTCCTTTCAGGCATTTGTAGAAACATTTCGTATGCCGAATTAATATCGCCACTCTTCACTAGCTGCGTGATCATCGTATTCCAAGTAACAATGTCTCGTTGAGGCATATTATCGAACACTAGATATGCGTCCCTTATGTTCCCACACGATGCATACAAATGCAAGATTGCATTTTGAAGAACTAAGTTCAACTGAAACCCGAGTTTCTCGACCAAGGCATGAGCCATTCTCCCATGGAAAAGATCCTGTAACTTCACACACGCCTTGAGAACGAAGGAGCAAGTAAAACTATCGGGACACACATTGTGCCTTTGCAATTGGTCAAACAGCAAAATAGCATCGAATGGAGAATCACTCTCTGCGTAATCTTTTAAGCAACAATTCCATATAAAAGTTGTCGGCTGATTAACTTGCCGAAAGATTTGTTCGGCATAAAGAAAACTAGGAGTAAGAGCACAAACAGATGCAACACGGGATAGTGGGAGATCTGAAAGAGGTGTACCGGTTTTTACGACAACGGTATGCACTTGTCGGAGCTCAAATGGAGAGTTAAAATTACGAAAGAGTTGTTCTGAAACGGGTTTCGACGAACTTCGTAAGGGGTGCCGTTGTTCGACATTCGAGGAAGGGATCATACAAAATGGTACAGAGGGGAGTGGGCAAACCATAACAGCTTCTTTCAATTTGTTGACTAGTTATTACTGCAAACATCAAAATACAACATTTTTTTAATTACTGCTTCGATTGTTTTAGATAAAATAATCGAACGAAATTTTGAATAGTTGATATATAATACGATACATTTCAAAAGCTTAAAAAAAATAATATCAATTTCATTTGATTTAAGTACCGAATTAACAAAATAAATGATAAAAGAAAATTTAAAATACGAAAACTGAGATATAAAAATAAGATGCATCATCTGACACAAATGGTACAACTGTCTCGTTTAGTAGCATTGATCGATCTAGACTGACACGATTATGAAAGTTATTTTGTGTACGTAATCGAGTATGTGATACTTAAATATCTGAGAGGATGGTATTGGATTGGATACAAACAAAAATAAGTAATGTCAAAGCCATTACAATTTAATATGTCACACTAAAATCATTTAAAATTTGCTGAAATACCATGACCACGATGATCTTTACCATTTAAAATAGAAAATAAAAATAAGGTTTTAAAATTGCTCGTTTTACTACGTCAACCACGTACAAATTCGCTTTATAAAAGTTGAACATAATCTGACGGATCGAATCGGATTTGACACTTTCGGAAAATAAAAACCAATTTTGGAAGTTTCAAAAAGAAATCGAGAAAATTTGAAAATTGGAATTTCAAAAACCAGAATGAATTTTTTTCTCCAAAAAAAAAAAACAAAATCGGATTTGAATCGGCAAAATTTAAAAAATCCATATTTCTAGTGAATCTAGTCACCAATAATATAAAAACATAACAATAGTGATACTATAAGTGTAATTTTTGGAAAATATTAGGAATGTTTTGAAATATCATCGAAAATCAATATGGAATTGAATATTGGAATCTAATATGTACTCCAATTTTTTTTTTTTTATATTAGTTATGAAAATTATTGTTCTTAAAACAAAAAAAAAACACGAATCGAAATTTGCGGAATTCGCAAGTTTATCTCACTTTCCTACCATCTAGCTATCACCTAAAATAGTAACATAAAAATAAAAGTAAGACAAGAATAATGTATTGCTACATTTCATCTCGAGAATATTGAATTTCGAAACAAAGAGACAAAAGTAATGCTTTATTTCCTACCAAGTAAGAGAGAGATGAAATTTTGTTCTTCATAGAAGTACTGAACTTCATAGAAGCATTTCCACAAACACATAAACTTCAAAACCCAAAAAACGAAGAACCACCAAAGTAAACAGATAAATTGAAGATAGCTTTGAGCAACACAACATCAGAATTCAGAATTACAGTTCAACATTTCTACAAACAAAAGAAGAAAAAAAAAAGACTCAATCTTGATTAAGAAAAAAAAGCATTGCCCATCAGAATTATGTAGGAAAAAAATGCGTACCTGGTAGAAGTAATTGAATTGGGAGTTGAAAGAGAAGTTTTTTGGTCTTTAAACCCGCCGGAAATCGACTGATGCCACAGACAATTGTAATTTACCAACAGTACCCCTCCTATCTGTTATCTTTGAATTAGGTCCCTCATACTCTCCGAAACGGTCGATTTTCTCCTCTTCCCAAAGGACTTTAGTAATTTTTTTCAACCACATGGAAAGCATAAAATTGATAATGGTTATATAATTCACCTTGGCAAAGATAATATAGTCGAATTGTTTCTTCTTATATGATTTTTTTTTTTTTAAATATCGTTAAATTGGGTAAACTACATCTTTATAAGTTGAAATCTTATATCTTATATGTAAAAGAAACAAACGGTAGGACAACCCTAAGAAATCTAAATGTCATTTTTGTAATTTTTTTTTTATTATTTTCGATTTTTATCAAATTTATCTGCTAAATATTATTTTAAATGTTATTTTTGATTTGTATTAGATTTTTATCTCCTAAATGTTATTTTTGATTTTATATTTATCTCCTAAATATTATTTTAAATAATATGTTTGATTTTTATCATTTTTTTATCTCGTAAATATTATTTTAAATATTATTTTCGATTTTTATCATATTTTTATCTCATAAATATTATTTTAAATATTTTTTTAGAATTTGATCAAATTTATATCTCCTAAATATTATTTTAAAAATTGTTTTCGAATTTTATAAAAGAATTATTCCCTAAATATTACTTTTCGATTTTTATCAGAATTTTGTCTCCTAAATATTATTTTCGACTTTTATCAAATTTTTATCTCCTAAATATTATTTTAAATAATATGTTTTATTTTTATCATTTCGTAAATATTATTTTAATTATTATTTTCGTATTTTATCGACTTTTATCTCATTAACATTATTTTAAATATTATTTCGATTTTTATCTCCTGAATATTACTTTTCTATTTTTTTATCAAATTTGTATCTCCTAAATATTATTTTCGATTTTCATCAATTTTTTTCTCCTAAATATTGTTTTCGATTTTTATCTCCTAAATATTACTTTCGATTCTTATCATTTTTTTATGCCCGAACCAGCCCAATCACTCATATTTTCAGCCATAAATATCTCTAACGCACAAACAATTAAATCTCCTAAATATTATTTTATCTCCTAATTGTCAGCCATAAACATCTCAACACTAAATATTATTTTTTTGATGATAAAATACTAATTATCATATTCCCAAAGATGGAAGATTACTAAAGACTTCCATTAAGACTCTCAACACTTTCAACTTCTGTCTAACACTTCAACACGTTTGTGTTTTCTCTTCTTATTTATATCCCACCTCTCAATTTCTCCACCCCAATTTTAGTTCTCCCCATTTCTACAAAATGTTTGTGGCTTCATAAAAGATTAGCTATTTTGCAATTTGTATTCTCTTCATAGTTCATAATAAAATCCGATTTTCGATTGTTACAAACAAGGGTAAACAAAATCTGATTTTCATCCCTAGCGGATTTTTTGACATTGTTCTACAGAATTTCTGCAACATTTGAATTTTATTTCTTCATCCTCCTACCTAAGACTTCTTCTTTTGGTAACCCGACTTTAGAATTTTTGTCTTATTTTCTTCTTCATCCGATTGAGTGTGTGGTAATTAGTTTGCATCTTTTTCCATCATGGCTTATAGGTAATTTTATTTTGTTAAATTATGTGTTTCATTAACTTATACCAAAGATTTCAAAATAACAATTATTTCCTTTTAGATGTTATTGGACATGTTATTGAAAGGAATTATTGGAGATAACTAAGCAAAAATGGACGGAGCCACAAGCTATTGGAAGTCGGCCTTCAAGACTTATTGTTTGTATGAAATATTTAATTTATTGTTTATATTTATTTTTGTATCTTAATTTTGCAATTGTTAATTCCAGTGGCAAAACAGGACCAAAACGAGGCAGTGGAGAAAGGCTTAATTACAATGCAAGATGTATAGATGGCCTTTTACATTGGATAATTTAGTTTTGATTAGGTTAACTATGTTATTAAATCTAATTACTTTTAAGCTCAACATGAAAGACATAGTCGGTGATTTTGTTCCTTGTTCAATTTTTGAATCTACTGGTATTAGCTGATTCAATTCATTTGGAAAATTATTCAAAAGTAAAGTTATTCGTTTTTTTTTTTTTTTGTGTAGTATACTTAGTAATGTTCCACCGATGAATTAGTAACAAATGATTATAACAAAATTTGGATCATACGATGCATCAAACATTTATTTATATTCTTACAACATCAAAACAATGTAATTTGTTGTCCCGTGCATTGCACGGGTACAATTACTATTATAGAATAAATTAATGCCATAATAACTGTAAAGTTTATGTGGTATTAACAATTATAAACACCTTCATAAATTAACGGAATATCAGACCCTAAATGTGAATACTACTAACAGCAGATTAAATATATTACTGCTGGTCCAAGATCACCAACCACGTTGTAGAAAGATTACAACTAAAAAAGAAGAATTAAACCTCAAATATGAGTAAAGAAGCAAGCTGAAAATTGAAGAGATAATTTGTTGGAAATCTTTTCTACTTCTCGATTGATTACAAAAGCTGGATAACACATGAATATATACAACTTTATAGAAGGCTCTAGCATCCTAATTAATTACCTTAATTAATGACCTTGAAATTTTAACAATATAATAAAGTTCAATTCTACTCTAGAAAATTCTTGAAAAAACTACTGTAAAGAAAACAAAAAATAACTTTAATATTTCACACTTCCCCTTAAAGTGATTTTTTGGAAACCATGCCAAGATGAGTTCGAAGAAACTCAAATGGAGCTTTAGATAATGATTTGGTGAAGATATCAGCTACATTTTCTTGACTTCTCACCTCCATAGCGTTAATTGTGCCATCAAGAACTTTTTCTCGAATGAAGTGATGCTCGAGCTCGATGTGCTTGGTTCTTGCATTACAGACGGGATTATTTGCGAGTTTGATAGCACTCTGATTATCTCCATAGATTGTAGTTGGTTTCGCTGCAGGAAGATGTAAATCTTCGACAAGCCTTTGAAGCCACACACATTCTTGAGCAGCAAGTGCCGATGCTTTATATTCGGCTTCCGTAGTTGATAAAGAAACTTAATCTTGTTTCTTGCTGCACCAAGAAACACTCGTACCACCACATAGAAACACATACCCGGACGTAGATCTTCGATCATCCAAGTCACCACCAAAATCAGCATCAGTAAAACCAACCAAAGAAGGAGTCGCCCCTTTCTTAAAAAATAAGCCCATATCAAGAGTTGAATTAATGTATTTTAAGATCATTTTTTTGCAGATTCGAGGTGAGGCTTTCTTAGTGATTGCATAAACCTGCTTACCAAGCCAACTGAGAAGGCAATATCCGGTCGAGTTATAGTCAAATATAAGAGACTACCAACAAGAGCACGATAAGGTTGTGGATTTGGAAGCAACGATCCTTCTTCATGCCTCAACTTCTTGTTCACTTCAAGTGGATTAGAGCATTTCTTACTCTGATTTAACCCGAATCTTTCGACAAGCTTCCTAGCATAGCCTTCTTGAGTGACAAAAATTCCATGCTTCATGTTTATCACTTCTAAGCCGAGAAAGTGATGCAATTCTCCCAATTTTTTTATGTCGAATCTGATAGCAAGCTCATCCCGTAGTCTTGAGACTTCTTCCTCATTATTTCCGGTTATTATCATGTCATCGACATACAAAAGAACAATCACATGCAAATTTTCTTGTTTCTTAACAAATAAGCTCGAGTCAGATTTACATGCATTATAGCCACAAAATTGTAAATATTGAGATATTTTGCCGTACCATGCTCGTGGAGCTTGTTTGAGTCCATATAGAGCTTTCTTGAGTTTACAAACATAATCAGGATGAGTTTTAGAAACATAACCTGGTGGTTGGTCCATGTATATATCTTTGTCGAGCTCCCCGTATAAAAAAACGTTCTTTACGTCGAGCTGCCATAATCTCCAATCGTAAGAAGCTGCCAACGCTAGCACAACTCTGACCAAAATCATCTTCGCCACAGGACTAAAGGTTTCTTCATAATCCTCGCCATACTTTTGAGAGAAACCTCGGGCCACCAATCTCGCTTTAAACCTGTCAATACTTCCACCAGCTTTTCTTTTGATTTTATATACCCATCTACAAGAGACAATTTGCACATTTTCTGGTTTCGCAACGAGACTCCAAGTTTGATTTTTTGCAAGAGCATCTATCTCTGCATCCATGGAAAGCTCCCATTCTTTGGTTCCTTTGGCTTCCTCATATGTGGAAGGCTCATCCTCATCTATCGGTCCTGCAAAGAAACAAGAGTACGTGCTAATGAAATTTTCATCTCGATAGTGAGCGGGCTTCACGGTGGTTCTTCTAGGTCTTTGTGAAATTTGTGAGTCATCTCTTTCGTGTAGCTCATGATCACCTTGTGCATGTGAACTCCCCCTTTCACTTGGCACCTCAATTGAAGACGATGAGACGGTACTGGTGGTAGGTAAGTCTGTCACTTCTTGCTCGATTTCCTTATTTGTCACTACACCTTTGTAATACAGTGAAATTTCATCAAAGATTACATCCCTGGAAACAGTAAAAAGGTGAGTTTTGGGATCCATACACTTCCAGCCCTTCTTCCTTTCATCGTATCCGACAAAAATGCACTTTCTCGCCTTTGCATCGAGCTTGCTTCTTTGCGATTCCGGAACATGAACATAGCAGATTGAACCAAAGACTTTGAGATGTTTGACGGAAGGCTTTTCTCCGAACATTAATTCGTACGGCGATTTCATGTTTGTTGGAGACAGCGGCATCCTATTAATCACATATGCAGCACAAATCATGCCTTCTGCCTACAAGGTTCTAGGCAAATTCTTGGCATGCAACCAGCTCTTACATGTTTCTGTTAGATGTCTAATCTTACGCTCCGCGACGCCGTTTTGCTGTGGTGTTTCGGCGCAAGTTAGTTCCCGCCGAATTCCATGTTCTCGACAAAACGAGAGAAATTCTTCCGAAGTAAACTCTCCACCATTGTCGGTTCGCAACCGCTT